GAGGCCAGTGGGGGTATTCATGGAGTGAGGATGGCACAGGGGGCCCCGTCGGTCACGCACCTTTTTTTTTGCTGACGATAGTTTACTATTTTTCAGGGAAAACCACTAAGAAGCTTCAAAAATCAAAGAATGTTTGGATCAATACTGTGAGGCGTCGGGGCAATTAATAAATTTCGACAAGTCTAGTGTTGTATTTAGCGCTAATACCACTGCGGAGACTAGGAGGTTGGTGACTGATTGCTTTGCTGTTCAAGAATCGAAGGACCTTAGGCGCTACCTTGGCCTTCCTTCGGTTTTAGGAAGGTACAAAAGTGCTACTTTTCGTTATATCGAGGAACGAATTCGGGAGAGAATAGGATCGTGGCAAAACAAGCTGCTTTCCAAGGCCGGTAAAGAGGTATTGCTAAAGAGCATAGCACAATCTCTTCCTATTTTTACTATGTCATCCACCGATTCATGTCTGCGACACTATCGAGAAGCTTTTCAATCGTTATTGGTGGGGGGTGGTGGAGGAGGCAGCAGGGGGATACACTGGTTGAGCTGGAAACGGCTTTGTGAACCAAAGTGTAAGGGTGGGCTAGGTTTCAAGTGTATTCATGAGTTTAATAAGGCGCACTTGCAAAACAGGTATGGCGTTTGCTTATTCATCCAGAATCGCTAGTAAGCAGGATACTGAAAGCCAAATACTTCCCTTCTTGTGATTTCATGGAGGCAAAATTAGGGGGTAATCCTAGTTTTCTTTGGCGGAGTATTCTAGTGGGGCAAGAGGTTTTAAAGATGGGGTGGCTCGAAGGATAGGGAATGGCGAGGACACTAGGATATGGGGCTGGGGTTGGCTATCAAATTCAACAGGCACTTGTCTAACAACCCCATGTATTGAAGAACTCAAGGAAGCTAAGGTAAGAGGGCTTATGGATGAGCATGGTTAGTGAGATGCAGAAGTGCTGCGTGATATTTTCTACCCGACTGATATTCAAAATATTCTCGCAACTCCTGTGAATGAACAGGTAAAGGACTCATGGCGGTGGATGGGTGACACACGAGGATGCTATACGGTGAAACATGGCTATAGGTTGCTCACGGCTAGCTCAACAAGGGAGAATAATGACGCCATGTTTAAGGCGTGGAGGTTCTGTGGTCTTTGCCGATTCCACCCAAAGTGAGAAACCTGTTATGGCGTTGTGCTCGTGGTATTTTACCGGTTCGTGAAAATCTGAAGCTTAAACATGTTTGAATTGGGGGTGGATGCCCGTTTTGTGAGGGTATGTCGGAAACCATTGAACATATTTTCTGTGAATGTATCTGGGCTAGACGGCTTTGGGGTGAAGACGACGTACTTCAAGGACGTTGTATGCAGAGTTTGATGGAATCGGTTTTGAGCAGGTCAAACAGGGAGAGGGCTTTCAAATTGGCTGCCATAATCTGGACTATTTGGATCGCACGGAATGAGATCATTTGGAGGCAAGCTTCACTATCAATAGAGAGTCTTCGTGGCCAAGTTGAGAGGCTGCGAATAATGTGGAAGGATGCATTCATCACTGATAGGCAACGAGTGGTCGTCCAGGCATGCGTGTCTCGTTGGATACTACCACCGCATAGTACACTGAAGTGCAATGTGGATGCAGCTCTGTTTGAAGACGGGGTAGGTTCCGGAGCGGTAGTTCGAGATCACGACGGTCACGTTGTCGCAGTACGAAGCGGTAAAATTGTATGTGACCGCGATCCTTTCATGGCGGAAGTTGTAGCAGCTAAGGAAACGTTAGTCTGGTTGACAGGGCTACAACGGTGTCGTATTATTCTAGAATCAGATTGTTTAAATTTTTGTAATGCTTTCAATTCTCGTTTGGTAGATTATTCGTATGTAGGTCTGGTCATTAAGCAATGTGTGTTGCTTGCTAGAGACATAGGGACGTCCAAGTCCAACATGTCAAGAGAACAGCGAACCGAGTGGCTCATGAACTTGCCCGGGCAACTGGTTCTTCGTCTGTCTCAAAGTCAAGAGAACAGCGAACCGAGTGGCTCATGAACTTGCCCGGGCAACTGGTTCTTTGTCTGTCTCAAAGTCGTGGACTGTTATCCCACCTGCGTGTATTTCTGGTTTATTTTTATTTTTTCCAAATGAAGGAAGAAACTATGCCTCAACCGATGTTTGAACCTAACACCTCCAATATAGGAGAGTAAACGTGATACTAGTGAACTACAAGATCCTTAATAATTAAGTTTTGATTTAAAGTACATGTTAACCTAACAATAAACTAGTTGAATTGTAACTATATTGGGTATACTTTATCCCATGCGCAACCTTAGATAGTGGGCTTAATGGCTACAAATTACCCTCATCATTCAAAAAATGTTATACTTTACACAAACCTTTATATTATGTACTTTTATCAATTAAATCATGCGAATAAAGTTTGTAGAAGCAAAACAATTAATAACTCATTAAGGTGTGCCCTTGCATTTGTAAGTGCAGATAAACGAAGAAAAATTCTAGTCAAGTTAGTAAGACAATTGACTTGGTAACTACAAAATTCCAAATTTGGCTCCTGTGTTACTTGGAAATAGAATTTTTAAAAAAATGAAAAGACAACATGTAACAATTTAGTTTTTTAATCTTTTATTTAGAAATTGATAAAAAAAATTATTATTTTTATTTAAAAATATTTATTGTTATTAGTATTTGTATGATGAGCAAAAAAAAAAAAAAAAAAAAAAAAAAATTGATGCCCAATGTTAAAACAATGATTTGCGTTAAAGTGATAATCACCCCTTAAATAAAACGAGAATAAGGGTCAAATAGGCAATCGGACTGCACACAATAATGCAATTAGACCACTGAACTTTAAAAAAAAAAAAAACAATTAGGCCATTAAACTAACCAATTTCTTTCAATTAGTTTAATTTACAGGTTTTGCAAGTTAGTAACAGGTCACCCAAAAAATTTAAAATAATTTTTTTAAAAAATATTATTTAAAAATAATAAATTAAAATATATTAAAAAAAAACGTTTCTTCGTCTCTGCCGGAGACGAAAAAAGTTTCTTCGTCTCCGGCCATGCAGACGAAAAGTCTCTTCGTCTCCGGCCATGCTTCGTCTCTGGCCGGGGACGAAGAGTTTCTTCGCCTTCGGCCATGGAGACGAAGAAACTTTCTTCGTCTCCGGCAGAGACGAAGAAACTTTTTTTTTTTTTTTATAATTTATTTTAATTTATTATTTTTAAAAAATATTTTAAATTTTTTTAGTGACCTGTTACTAACCTGCAAAACTTGTAAATTAGACTAATTGAAAGAAATTGTTTAGTTTAGTGGTCTAATTGTTGTTTTTTAAGTTCAATGACCTAATTGCATTATTGTGTGCACTTCGATGACCTATTTGACCCTTATTCCAATAAAAACGTGTGAACTACAAGTCTACTACATGAATGCACACATTCTAATATTCCAAGCACACAATGCACACAATCTACCCTAGAATAGATTGTGTGCATTCGTGTAGTAGATTATACGCATTCATATTGGTTCTCACATTCTCACTTAAGAGCATCCCCAATAGAGTTTTTGAGATGGTTTTTTAGGCTTGGAGTTTTATGTAGAAGTGAGAGAAGGATAAGAGAACGAATGTTGAATTCTTGCAAGAGGGATAGGTTTTTATCTCCTAATGTGACCCCACGGTCCCCACCAAATATTTAAAAAGAAATCCCCCACTACTCTCATCATAAGATTTTTAGAAGTTAAATTTGTAATTGATGTATGTTTACAATTGAAGAAAAGGAAACCCTAATTATCGGAAAAGATAGAAGCCAATTACACGGCAATATAATACATATTATATACTTTTGAAATTGTAGACCGTTTTTCCCATTAGATTAAATTACACTATTCTTCGGGGTGAATTTAGGTTGACAAAATTATGACACCATTTAATTTTATTTATTTATTTATTTATTTTGTGGAGGAAGAGGGTAAATTATTGTGTGGATCATGGTTCACAAAATGTTATGTGGATCATAATAAAAAGTACATTTTTAATATACTAAATGTACATTATTTTTGTACTGAATGTACATTATACAATATAATATACACTCAAAACAAAAATAATATACATCTTCTGAATTCAATGTACATTATTTTTGTATTGAACATTATTTTTGTACTGAATGTACATTATTTTACAGTAGATAAAATATGGTCCACACAATAATGATTGGAGGAAGAGAGGCTAGGCCTCAAACTATCTAATTCTAGGAGTACAAGTGCCACCCATGCGAGTGAGAAGGTTGTCTATACCTTCTAGGGCATCATTGAAGATCCAAGTACTCCAATATTTGCTTTGGCCATATTTGCCAAGAGATTGACACATTGATTACCTTCTCTAAGGATATGATTAAACGAGATCCCTTCAAACTTGCTCGCCAAAAGGATGCATTCTACCAAGAGGGAGCAGCCGGCTTTGTTGCCTTGGTCGCCTTCCCGAAGCAAGTCGATCACTGTTTTGGAGTCCGTCTCAACAATAATTCTCCGAAATCCTTTTTTCAAGGCAGAGCGGTAGAACCTTCATTGGCCCTACAATTCCGCCTTGAAGCTAGTCGTGATGCCAATCTTCACCATGAACCCCCATAAAAACATCCCAAACGAATCCCGCACCAACCCGCCAGCTGAAGCTAGATCAGAACCTTTTTTGACCGCTCCATCCATGTTAAGCTTGAGCCATCCTTCCTCCGGTGGAGACCAGTGGACCCGAAGAGACTTTGCCGTGGTGACACTACCATGTCTCATCAAATCCCCAACGTCCTTAACCTGCAGATTAACCCATTGATTTATTTCCAAGGGGGACCAATGTTTGTTGTTGAAAACCCAATTGTTTCGAGCCTTCCATATAGCCCATAACGTGAAGCAGAAAACCAGAGACCATTTCATCTATGTCTGACCGGCACAATTATACTTTATCCAATCTTCCATCGGAAAGGTGAAGGCTTCCGGTGCGTAAGAGAGTCTCCAAGTAATACGAGCTGCTGCGCAGTGTCCCAGAAAAGGTGAAATGGATACTATATATTGAGATACTTTGATTATCAAAACAATTTTTGACATATGGAATACCAAAAGAAAACTTAACTGTGTCAATTAAAGAAGACCTAAAGAACAATTTAGCAAAGTATGCCTTTTTAACAAAAGTTTGTGCTAATCTTTACATTTCTCAGACCAAAATTTTGTTACAGAGGTTAATTTTGTTATCAGAAGAGGGAAGAGACCTACAAGGATGCCATCTATGACTACAGCTACAAAAGCTAAATCTCTCAGTAGAACACTTTGAAACTATTTAAAAGTAAACAATAGCCTTAACAGAGGAACATCAATTGCCAGGCGAACAGAACAGACATCTCTGAATGTATATCAGCAGGATTGGGCGATGTGTCTCAAAGCAAGTCTTCAGTTCCAGTCAACTTTGCAAATTCAGTTTCATCAATAGCACCTTTCTTCAGCTTTTTCAGTAGGCGGTATTCTTTAGCCATCTCGTCATCATCTTCTAATGTCTGAGTAGCACGCCTCTTCTTGGCTGTTTGCTTCTTCATCTCAGCTTTTGACAAACTTGAGTCTCTCTTTGGCTTCCTCATTTCTTGCTGCTTTACGGCTTTTTTTGCCTCCAAGTTCTTTTTTCTTTGTTTCTCACGAGATTTGTCCCTATAAAGTGGTGTAATGGTTATGCAAACCCGCCCAGCTCCAATTGTACAAAAACCTTCCCAGTCTGAACTCTATAACTAGCATAATCTTTCACAGTTGATAGAATTTTTACTTTCAACATTTGCCATAAAAAAAAAGTACAAATTTAAAAAAAAAAAAAAAATTGGGAAAAAGGTCAAATGAGTCCCTAAACTTAATGCGAAAATCCAATTAGGTTTTAAAAGTTGTTATTTTCATACATCGAAGCCCAAAAACCAGTTGTTGACCTATAATAATAGGTCACTGGCTAGCTCTGGCATCTAAACCCGACGACCGGCAACAGACGAACGGTCGCCAGTTGCCTGACTTTTATTGCAACTATGCTAGTTCTATAACTAATCATATTAGACTTGTAAGCAATACTCAAAAAGGCAAGATTAAAATCGCTATGCCTTACTTGTACTTTATCTCCTCCAGGTTTATATCTTTTACTGGAATAAAACTCTCAGTGGAAAGAGAGTGATGCTTCACCTCCGGCACAGAAGGAAGCTGCAATAAGCCATATCCCATGCCCAATTTTCCAATCTCAAGCTCTTTCCACCTGCAAGTAGCGGAGTATTAAATCAAGGGGCAATTTATGAAAACTTTCAAGGAAAATCAAAAACTTGTATTACCTGAAAATATATGAGCAATGATGCTCTTTATAAGCACGGATATAAGACACAAATGCTCTGATTCCCTTTTCCATAACATCACGGTCTTTTTTTGCTGCTAGCCGAATCTGGACAGACACACTTTTGATAAAAAATCACTTGCTTCAATAAGTTCACATAACATAAACTACCAATAATAATAAACTGTTTATTTTCTTGACCCAATTATATAATAATTTAATTTATCACAGGGGCTATTATCCAACTAGACTAAACGATATGCAGAACTTGTTGCTTTACAAGATAAATAAGAAAGCACCAATTAGTAATCTCCACTACAAACTTCCAAAGAGCTCCCTTTCTCTTAAGTACAAATGTAAAATAACCCAGGCAAAGAATTTTATAAAAAAAATTAAAATGAAGAGAAAAGCTATAGTCAAGGGAGAAGGGAATGATCTAATTGTAAAAGATTAATTCTGACCTCAGAAACAATATCAGGAGCCTCATTGAAGCACTCTCTTGCCTCAAGCGGAATCCTTCTTATCCGCAAGAAGTCTACATATGCTTCCTCCTAAAAGAAACACAGACTGTATTTGATAAGCTAATAGTTAAAAGGTATGAATGTAAAATGAGAGTAGAAAAAATAAAAGCACAAGTTATGATGGTTCAAACATGATCAATAAACATGAAGCTATGGCCCCAATTAAGAAATGGAGTAAGACCTTACTAATCTTTTTGACAGATGATAGATAAGGCGTTAAACTGGTTGTGCACAAAAACAACAAAAAAGTACCTTTGGTGACAGAAATATGCTGGCATGCCCTTGCCTTCCCAGCCTAGCTGTTCGGCCTACTCTGTGAACAAATACATCTGGATCCTGAGGGGGGTCATACTGTGTATGGAAAACAAAAAGTTTTTAAATCCAAATTCACCAGGTCTAGCTTTCTAATCAATACCCCTGGTAACATTGAGAGACAATCTGGCAAAAAAAAAAAAAAACTGATAGGCAAGATAAATGTTCAGGATTTATCCGATTTAAGATTTTCTGATATTTTTCAGAACCATTCTTTATCAGAAGGAATGCTTTGAGGAACAGCATTTATCATTTTAGGGAAAATTGTAGAGTTAATAGCAGTGGGACATCAAACACATTGACAATAACAAAACTTATTGGCGACAAGGAAAAAGTTCCTAGCTACTATCATGCTTCCTGCAAACCAATGCTTTACATAGAAGAAATAAAAGTCACCTGTATTATACAATCAACACCCGGTATATCAAGTCCGCGCGCCGCGACATCAGTGCATAAGAGAATGCCACTGGAAAGAGATGTAAATGTTGATAATGCTTTCTCCCTAACAGCCTATTGTCAAAAGGAATATGTAAATGAGTAAATCAATTGCAAAATGACAAAAAATAACCATTTCTATGTGGCATTATTTAAATATGGCTCCCTTAAAAGTACCTGCTTCATCTTTCCATGAAGAGGTATTAAAGATAGCTTTTTCAGAGAAGAAATACGTGGAAGAACAACTCCCCAGTAATCAACACATGCACAAGTCATAAAGTAACTGCAAGAATAACGAGATAATAAATCATGTCAGGCTCTACCCTTGTAAGTGGGCATACAGATGCAAACGAAACCAAACACCATACAGGAAAAATGCATACATTATAACTTTATTACATTTGTTCCTAATTAGGAGATCAGCAAGCTGTGATGATTTCTTGTCCGCTTCACATACAAGATACTGCAAAATTAAACAGGCATCAAGAATGGTGTTAATGAACGCATGAAGAAAATATAGCTGTCAGTCATTTTATGGACACTTGATAAAAAGGATATAGTTCAATCTAAAATGAAGTATAGATACCTCATCCTGAAGGCCTGCGGGTGTTCTTGAAGAGGCAAGTTGGCCAGTGGATGTGGAATCATTTAGTGATTTTGCTTCTGCTCTAACTTCAACCCTCACCGGGTTCCTTAATCCGGCTTTTGATAACTCTTCAACTGCCTCAGTTTGAGTAGCTGAAAATAAACCTGTCCGGCGAAGTTTTGGCAACCGAGATATAATGGAGTGTATTTGCCTCTGGAATCCCATATCTAATAGTCTATCTGCTTCATCTAAAATTAAAACCTGTAAAGGAAAATATCACTGCTAGTTAACAAAGATCTCTGAAAAGGCAGGATGTCACCCTGAAGCACATCTGAGCCTACCCTTCTTGCTGTCATTAGAAAACAAGGTAACTACACCCTGCAGACAGTTGCCTACACTGCTCCCTAAGAATAGTGACTAATGTGGAAGTGCCCTAGTTGAGTGAGGGGAGGAGAATAGAGGGGTATTAGATTTTTCTATCATTGGAAAGGTGAGTGTTAGATTCCAACTTTTCACATAAACAGGGGAATTTGAATGGGAAATTTAGAGATTTCTCCAATTAAGGATGTTGTTTATGTGAACAAGAAAACATAATAATATTGGCTTCCTACCAAATTTTCAGTGTCACCAGCTAAGACAAAATATACTAAAAAGTGTGGGAACAACAACATATTTTTGCTGCACGATACAAGGGAGAAAAGATATACTGTTACTGTTGATTCACTTTGCCCTTGCCCAATAAAAGAATTAAAGCTTGCCACTCATTGAAAAAGGAGGAGAAAGAAGAAAATAGCCTGGCTAGCTCTTTCTATCAGCTCCTAACTCAATCTATTTGATTGAGTGCTAAGAGCCAAAAATACTAATCATGTGTGAGCTATTGTACTTCATATTCACATTAATGATATTAGACCATACCTCGAAGTTCCGAAAATCTAGCATGTCCATGCGTTCCATTATGTCAAAAAGTCTGCCAGGTGTGCCAATCAACAAATTTGCCCCTTCCTCCTCAATTTTCTTCATGTCCGTTTTTACTTCAGCTCCCCCAAGAAGAAGCACTGGCTTAATATTAGGCAGTGTTGAAATAAAAGGTTGGGCGACCTGAAATATTTGTGATGACAACTCCCTGGTTGGTGATATAACTACGCCCATTACCTGATATAAACCCAACAAGTGAGCTAAAGAATACCTTAGCACAGACATTTTAGGCAATGACCACTTTGCAATTATCCTCATTTTAGCTGACATTCATTTTGCAGTCATTTTCAGATACAATTTACTTGGTAATAATTTTACAGATCGTCTAGGACTGAGTACACAATTGTTGAGTTAATCAATTCCGCGGTATTTAACTTTCTCATAAACTTCGATCAGCAAATAAGTGAAGAAATTTCCAATTCATGAAATTATTACAAAAAATTCTAATCATTTTAAAGTCGCAAACAGTTCTGTATTCAAAAACCACAGGAGCAAAGCTTCCGTAGGCCCGTAGCTTCCAAAATAATTTAAAAATTCTCGAAAATCGGAACTGAACCTGGTGAGGTTTAGGAGGAGAAGAGCGGCGGATAATCTCGACGAGAGGGACGACAAAAGCTAAGGTTTTCCCGGAGCCGGTGGCGGCGTCGACGGCGACATCCTTGTGGCTGCAAAGCAATGGAATGGTGGCTGCTTGAACTGGCGTGCAGAAATCGAAGCCTCCATTAGTCAAAGCTTCGAGAACTGGCTGAGAGAGCGGTGGTTTGAGGTCGGAGAACCGAGTGGCCGTTAAGGCTTTGTTCGTCGCCGCCATAATCGTGGCAGCGCGCCTGTTGTTAGGAACCAGATAGAAAGGGGTTTTAGCCTTTTAGCGCTATTTTGCTGTTTTTATGTCAAGGGTAATTAAACTTTAAATTTTTTATAATTAATAAATTTTAAAGATAATTACACTTTAATCTCTTAGTTATGATCTTAGAATAAATTTTGGTTTCATTCTTCCCAATAAATTTTGGATTCATATTTGATCGTAATGTAGAGTTAATCTCCAATTAATATTGAAGTAACACATTTGACCATGGCATTAGGGTTTTATATTTGAGAGAAACTTGTGCATTTACAATGTGATTAAAATAGAAATATGAAGTAAATTTTGGCCCATTCGAATTGGTTGGGTAGTTAGCTTGATTTCAAGTTTGATTTTTTGTGAGAGCTGACTATTAATTAATCTTCTCGATATCAAGACCAAACAACAGCGGAAGCTTAAATAAAATCGAAGAGATGTTATGCCATACCCATAAACCATGGATGCACAGGCTAAAGACTATCAAAAGCAGTAAACAGTATAAATCTAGGCACACAGACCACTAGTCTAGACACACAGGCCAACAAAGGATAAATGTCTAGCATGGGATCTATACTATCTAAGTCCACATCTAGCGCGCTCGGCATCTACTCAAAACCTGTAAAATCAAGATATAACACCCGGTCAACGAATATTGCTAGTAACCATCAATACGCGTTAAATAACATAATATAGATAGATATAAACAAATTCATTTGAAACGGGGAATACATTATATATCATTTCAAAACCTAGGAAAGGAAGTCAACATCAAAGACCATCACACTCTCAACAAAAACGAGGATCATCAACCTCACAACAAGGATAAAACCACAACCAACATAGACAACACAACTCGGGATGTAACCTACCCATCACGAAGTAGAGTACATCAAGACATGCTCATAAGCAATGAATTCAAATCCACCAATGACAACTTCATGTCATCAGTTTCATAGTTTCAAGTTCAATTTCCAAGTTCCAACCTTATGGCTACCCTCGACCTTATCACAGTTCCAACCGTTACCTCCTAGTGCCACCCTGTACTTCTGAGTCCAACCTTATACCGCCGGCGACCGTCGCCCCCCACCTACACTGCCAATCATTCACCGCCGAACTCTCAGTACACGAGGGTACCATTAATTTTCATATCACACACCACCAATCATGTGAGCAAAGCTCAAGTCATACACCACCAATCACATTCATAGTCACACATAATCATCATTATCATTAAGAAGACTAAGGCCCATCAATGGCCCCAATCAAGTATCAACAAAGGGTACAAAGATTTGCATACGATCACACCATAGGAATCAATCAAGAGATCACAATAGAGACATGAGACATTACTCAACAACGAAGGATATAATCCAACACCAAATGATTGTCAACACAAGTTGTCAATCCCAATAAGAAGGAACAAACTACACATGCTAGCACATCAACATCAAACTAGCATGCTTATCAACCGAGTAAACTAAATGTAGTTCCAAAGAACATTCAAGACTCACGTTAGCCCAACGAATCACAAAGTTGGACCCTTAGCATGATTCAAGACACCAAATCCTAACATGGATTCCTAACACACCGTTCTAGACATACGAAACATCAAGAAGACTCACAAATAGCCCATTAAAGCAACAACGGGAGGTCAAAACATCAATACTGAGAAGAAAGAATCACGAGGAACAAATCCCCAACCATCACCAATATGGTACCCCGCGGGTGGGGCCACGGGTGGGCCTCCACCCGTGGTTCCGCCCGTGGGTACACACCCACATTAGGCCGGTTCCCCGCGGGTGGGGCGGCGAGTAGGCCTCCACCCGTCGTTCCACCCGCGGGTACATACCATGTATACCAAAATTCCTTCGGGAAAAATCAACAACAAGGCCAAGTTCAAGTCCAAAACACCCAAAATCTCACACACAACAATGATATGACTTGAACCCAAGAAATAGTCAAGCAATGGCATTCAAGAAACCTAAAAACAAGCTCTAAACATGCATCATCACAAGATCATGCATCAAATCTCACAAATCATCACAAGAACAACAAGTAGAAGCCAATAATCATTATTATCAAGTGAAAATAGGTTTTGTATAGCATGTGTTACCTTTGTAGCCTAACAACTTCTTCTTTTCACCCTTAAAAGCCTTCCTTAAAGCTCTTCTTCCACACCAACTTCTCACACAAACAAAAACACAAGAAAGAACCTATCTTTAGTTAAAGACACTCAAAAGAAGGTTAAAAACACCAAAAAGCTAAGAATCTTACCCTTTCTTATGCTCAAGAAGGATAAAGTAGGAATCTTGGAAGAAAATCTTGCAAGGCTTGGAAGTTCAATTTCTTGCTTGGAGAAGAAGCTAAATTATTTTAGAGAGAGGCTAGAGTGTTTGAGTTTTAGGTTGAAAGGATGAATGAAGTGAGAGTGTATTGCTAGGGTAGCTTGAATCACAATGCAATAATGCATAGGTGAAAAGACATTTTTACCCTTACTAATGTTGGAAAGACAAGAGAACAAGGGTATAACTCAAGAAGCACAAGGTACACCCTTTTGACTTAAGTGACTATCAAAATCTAGTCCCTCGACTATCAAATTTCAGGATTTTTAGAAATGAATTAGCAAAGAAACTTGGATTAATTCTTCAATTAATCCTCGATTAGTGTTTAGATTTACGGGGTGTCACATCCTCTCCCCATAACAAGAAGCTTCGTCCCCGAAGCTTGGGCACGACGAGTTCAACAAAAGGTAGCAATGAAACAACGGTGTGACAAAATGTGGCTAGTATATAAACATACTCAAGGCTTCAAAGATCAAGAATAGTGCAAGGACTCAAAATAACGGGGGAAACTTCTCAAGCAACACCACCACTACCACAACAAGGCTATCTAACACCCAACTACACTATTCCTAATCCAAGAACCCACTAAGCTCAAGCAAGGCAAAGCAGCCAAACCAACAACTCAAACAACAAGCTAGCAACCAAGGCAAACAAGAAAGCACATGCAACTAAACACACAACTAAACAAGCAACAACTACCAACCAGCAAACAACCAAACTAGAAAGGAAAACGAGCTTACCCCAAACTCTGGCCTAAGAGGAATCATCCTCCGAATCCTCGGCATCCTCATCAGAAGCTTCCTTGGCTCTACCCCGGCTAGAACTAGCCTCCAACCTATCCAGCCTCTGGTTCACGGTAACAAACTGAGCCTTCATGAAAGAGAAACCTTCCTCAATCATTTGATTCTGCTGTCGAAGGAGGGTCACCACGCGTTCCTCATGAGTCATGGCTTCATGTTCTTTCTTAGTCCTCACTTCCTTCCTTCTTAAGCTCTCCTCGCTCTCGGGGTCACTTTCTTCGACTTCCTCTTCTTCATCCTCTTCTCCCTCTTCTTCACCTTCATCCTCAGCGTATCTACCCAAACTCTGCACTGCCAGATTCAACTTCCCAACGGGGATCTCAAGCTCTTCAACCAAAGAACTCCTCTCGACAGGGGCTTTCCTTGCGACTTCTTCAAGAATGATGTAGTCACCATCATCCAACTGAAACAGGTTGCAACTCCGAAGATTTGTGGCATCCAAAACCATCTTGCCCACCGGCTTGGGCACACAGCCTTCAACATTCACCCCTTTCCTAACGAAGATCCAACTTAAAATCATACCATACGACAAGCTCTTCCGGTTATGGTCTCTACAGTAGACCATATGTTGCAAGATTAAAGAGGGCAGGTTGAACTTTACTTTGTACTTCAGGCAAAAAGCAAAGGTGCACTCCAATTTACCCAACAAGCGACTCTTGTTATTTTTAGGCAACAAACAATCAGAAACGAGCATTACCAAAATCTTTTGCTCGGCAGAAAGCCACTTCCTCTCTGGCCTCGTGGCCTAAGTAAAACCACTAGTCTTTCCCAACAAATAGCTCAAATAATTCTGATAACTCATACTGCTTGTCTCAATCCAAGAGTCACCACTGTACTGTGAGACTCCAGTAGTCGTCAAAGTCAAAAGCTGAGCCAACCGTTTCTCAGTCAAAGAAATTCTCACACCTCCCACCTCAGAGCTGATTTCCAACTTACTCCTATTCTTGGTCACATTCATGCGACGGTAAAATTCCTTTACCAAACTCGAGTAAGTCTCGGTCCTAATTGCGAGATACCCATCCAACAAACCTTGGTAATTCAACAACTCCAACAAGGAACTAGAAAAAGAGTCGGGGTCAAAAGATTTACCTTCCAAAACCAAGTAATGGGCATCCACCCATTCTACTCTTCTCACGGTTTTAGACCTTCTAGGCATGATTTGAGATGTCCAAGATGAGGTAGACCTAAAAACTTCTCTCTTTTCTTCTTGTTCTCTCCTTCTCTTCCTTCTTCCTTTTACTTCGGCTCCTTCGCGGTTCCGGCAAGCAGCAGCACGGCGGCGAGCTTCCGGCGGCAGTCGGTGACGGGCAGAAGGCGGCGACGGGCAGAGGGGTTTCTCGGCTGTCGCTTGGGTAGGAGGGAAGAAAGAGGGAAGGGTTTTGGGGAAACAAATTTGGGAAGGAGAAGATTTTAATTTGGGGATTTTTGGGTAGATTAAAAAAATATAAAGTTTAAAAAGAATTTAAGTGGAATAAAGTTTAAGAAATACAATTGGTCTAGATGGTTCAAGGGTTGGTTTGGAAATTTGAAGATTTGGGTTCAAAACTTGCTTTAGTTACAAATTAAACCTCTCTCAACTATAAAAGGTTTTCTACTAATTGACCATTCTAAATTTTAAGGCAACGGTTTAGGCTTTGGGTGATAAAAAGGTGTGAGGTCCTAATCAAATGTATACCCACAAAACCTCGGAATTAAAAAATAAAGCTAACCACTCAACAGGAACAATCAAGTCACAAAGGGAAACCAAAGGGAAAACTCACTCAAAAAGATAACAAGGAGAATCACACAACAAGGGTATGGAAATCACTCTCAAGATAGAGGGTAAGCTCAAGAAGATTACCCGCAGACTCTTCCT